TGGAAATTGGAGAGTTTTTAAAAACTCGAAATGGTAAGATGTTCCCTCAATGTGATAAAAGTAAAAGAGGTAAAAAGTCTACCAAACTTACGATGATGCAACCCTTGATGGGTTTTGTATGGCAAATGATGTAAAGAGAATGGAATGAAGTTCTCAAAGAACAAGTGATGGCTGATGATGATGGATGATAATTGATGATGTCTAAGATGACTCCTACGGATGATAATCTTGATGATGAGCTTGTTGAAGAAAATAACGCGATAAAGAATGCTCATAAGTGTGGGACAATTGGTGAGCTGGATGATATTGATACAATGAAATAGTTGTTACACTGGCTGATACACTGGTAAAAATTCGAAAAAGACTTTCAGAGGACAGTTAATGAGTCACTCAATGACGCAAAATTATGTAATATCGATAAATGTGTAAAAGAAAAGCCTAAAAATCATTGAGATAACATTTAAATTGAAATTGTTATATTTGTAATTGAATTCTTTTTTTCTAATTTCTTTTTCTGATTTAAAATAAGTGTGATAAAAAAAAACCTGCAATTCATTGTTAATCGCTTTCCATCTTCCATCATCTTTCCATCATATATATATATTATAATAACAGGGCTACATCCCTGTTATCATTGTTGTATTCAGCTTTAATAATGCAGTCGTAAGCCATCATACGTTCTAAAAAGGTTCATTTAAAGGTAGGCTGATGGTTATAACAGTTCACATCTCCACTTCACAAGGGAGGGGGTCTGGACAAAACTCCGGATGGTTCCAGCAAATCTTTTATGGAACAAGTTATTCAGGAAGAGACATGCGAAAACCATTGCTCTCGCATTAAATACTTACAGATTTGGAGGTGAAAAGACTAAGTCAGTGCATAGTTTGTAACTCTACGCACCATCGATAATCATTTAATGCTTCCTAATATGGAAGTGAAAGAGGAACAAGATCTAAAAATAACTCCTCCTTTGAAATATAAATCTAATTATAATTCAATGGTATGTTTTCAGCCTAGAAGTCCCAAGATAGAATTTCTACACCTATTCTTTACCAAAGACATTTTATGAAAACGACAGAGTTTTAATATTGTTATTAATACAAAAGTATTTATAATTTTGTATTATATATATATAAAATTCAAGTCAAACTTGAAATAGAAATTTTTATGCATAATTTTTAAATACCTTACGTTTGCAAATTTTATTACGTAGGGGAGAGTCGGGTAGCCCCGCCCACTTAAGGAGTATTGCTTACATTTCTGAATAATATTGAGTAATAATCAATATTTTTGTATGTTTCTATTGTTTTATCATCTAATTAATTAATGCAAAAAGAATAAACCAAAAAAAGAATAGTTTAACTTAAAAAAATAGAAATTTAAAAAAACAAGTTTTTCAGCTTTTTTCAAAAAGTGTCGGGTGTAGATGAAAATGACCAATGTATTGACAATAGATAAACCTCATTTATCATTTTTATTACAAAATTATTTAATTTATTACATATTTATATACTTTTAGTGAATTCTATCATT